GAAATCCAGCACCCAGTAACTATGCCCCGTTTCGAAACCTCTGCTGTTGCTGTCCCAGCAGTCAGGGTTCTTTTGCCTGGTGTGCCAATCGAGACACAGAGATATTTGTTTATGCTGTGTCTGAGCAGAGATGGGTGCTAGGTGGGAACGCCACAATGCTAGCACCCTTTGGCTAACACGCAGCAAACATTTATACATTTTGAGAAACAGTTATCGGTGCTTATACAGTTACGCTTAATCCCCCTCTTTCCATTGGTCCTTACGTGTCTCACCTCCACTTACATCCTGCGCATGTTTGATGAGGAAGGGGATTTTCTTGGTAGGGAACTTTCACTACTCGAGGGCAGGGTTTTTACCATGCTAATTAAGATAGTTCACTCCTAGTTCAAGCAGTCTTCTTTTTATCAGCAATTCTGTTTCATTTTGGCTTGCCTTGTGTTAATTACAACTGTGGCTCTTCCAGGCTGCAGTGCTAGCCCTTATCAGTTCCTTGCGTTCTTTTGCTGTCCTCTGTCACCAGCACCTTCTCCCCCCTGTCCCAGCCACAGCAGCGATGGCAGGGGGCAAGCAGCAGTACAGCATACCCCGGGGGTTAAATCCTGTCCCTCTGGCTTCCAGAGATCCTCTGAGGCCTGCGTGCTCAGGCATCACTGCGACCCAGCAGGAGGCAGGAGGCTCTGAGAAATAAAAATCTTGCCGAAGCAAGGGAAGTCCTACCAAAGTAAGACCGGGATGTAAGCAGCTTTCACAGGAGCAGACAGGAAGTCTCACGGCCTCGGGAAGGAACAGAAAATCGAATAGGCATCTGCACGAGCAGCCAGACAGACAACAAGTGAAGGTCAGGGAGACTTCAAAAAATATGCCACTGCTGATGCCGTTTTATTTTCTCCTTGTTCAGGTCAACTGCAGACAGTGCCCAGAGCAGGAGAAGAGGAAGGCATGTAGAGGGGGGAGAAATGGCATTCTTGGTCCTTCTCTTAAAGGAATTCCAGCTTTGGAATGCCATGGAGTGTGCGTGAAAGAAGGGAAAACTATTGGTACATTATTTAATCTGCTGTTTATACAATATAAAGCTAACCTTTATTTGTTTGGAGGGTTCTTTTTGTGGATTTTTAATTTTTTTAATGTCATCGCCCAAAAGCTACTGTGTATTTTCTGCTTATAAAAAAGTTCAGCCAAAAATAAACAAAGTAGGGCCACACAAGCAAGGTGAAGACCTTAATACAGTGTTTAACACAGGCAGGTCACAGTTCAGGATCCAATTCCCTAAACATCAGAACAATGCAATAACAATAGTAACAGAAGCAGTGGAGTAAACTGGGGATGAAGAAAGAGAGGCTGAAGGAAAAAATGGAGGGTCTCGCCCTCAATAAATTTACCTATGGCATAGTGTTCGTTTAACTGGTACAGCCTGAAGTTCTGCCAGTAAAATGCAAAGAAAAAGCACAAAAGTCTATGAGGAGTAGCTGATGTCCTGCTAGTAAATCGCTTGGCAAGTACATAGGACCGAGGTATTTGGTATTTAGGATGTAACTTTGAACAATTCATATTTTGATAGCTTTGCATTCCTCAGGATTCTCAAGAACAGACCTCGATGTAAATCAGCTAACTGAGGCAGACCTGAAGAAAACTGTCTTTAGGAAAGCCACCCCTGGAAGGGCAGAAGCCCAGCACACCCTGCCCCTGGAGTAAAGAGCTGCAAATGTGTACAACGTGTAAACACTTGCACTCCCTCATACTTTGTCCCTAAACACAGTAAATTCTTTTAACCCAGGCAGTTTTCTTAAGCAGAAGTGGAGCAGAGGAGCTCAAACTCAGAAACTCATCTTTAGGATTATAATTTAAGGGAGTACAAAGATGCACCTTGTGTTTTTTTTGCTTTGTTTTCTTTTTAAATAGGGAAAAACGCAACGAATACTAACTAATGAAAAGCAGCTAACAAATACCAGCTATGAAGCAGTTTTTTCTTATTGCTGTTTCACTAAGGTCTTCTTCTCAGTTGTTCTGTGGAAGGACAATCCTATGAAAGGGAAAACCACAGCAGGATGAGCTGACGGGAGGAGAGAAACACCGTGGGTGGCTTGTTTATTATTTGCATCATTTGTAATGTGGGGAGGAAGCAGTTCTGTTCAATGCCGAATGAAAATAGTTCAAAAGATCGTGACGCTACAAATAAAAACACAAATCACCTCAAAATGTATTAGAGAAAAAAACTGTGCCACTAACATTAATGCAAATGGTTGAGACCTGCAGACATACCTAAATACAAACCTTGCAGGTGTATTTCCAAGACCTCTGCACCAGGGAAGGGCCAAGAAGACCTGGGCCACATCAGAAAAACTTCATTTCTAGTGGTGTATGTTCTCGTGCAGCTTGGGAGGAGCCTCAGAGCGGGGTCTGGAGCTGTTCGCAGCGCAGCGTAAGCGTCACCCACCACCACAGCACCAAGACCACCACCGGTGCCCAAGCCCTGACTAAGCGCCCTTGTTTTCCACCCCGCAGAGTAGAGACCAAGCTGCAGAGCGTGGAGGCTCGGTTCGCAGCCCTGGACTCCAGGCCGGCCCCGCAGCAGGGGCAGAGGTGAGCACTGGGGTGTGCCGTCGCCCTGCGCCGCGATGGTGATGGCATGGTGGTGGGTACCTCCAACGCCAGGCTCCACAACACGTCCACACGTGTTTACCTTTCCCAGCTGGGATTTACTGCAGAAATGGGCAGTATCAGCAAAAAGCACGGTTCCTTCGATAATGGTTTCTGTAAACAAACCCAACCACACAGTTTGCGAAGCATTTATGTGGTTTAAAAACAGCCACGCCACTTCCAAGGTAGCAGGGGCACCAAGCCTGTTTGCTTAACTCTGTCACAGAATCACAGAATGGTCGGGGTTGGAAGGGACCTCTGTGGGTCATCTAGTCCAACCCTCCT